TGTTTTCAGTAAATAGGATACCGATTGATTTTTTTAGAGGCTTTTGCAATGTGTTTGTTTTTAGTTTCTTATTACTTGCCTTCTCTAGAGTGTCTTAAAATGAACGTTCTGCCTTTTCGTTGATTTGTTTCACATAAGACAGTTCTCTTTGAATTATTTAATTTTTTTATCATTTCAGTCTTTCAGATAAGTATTTTACTCTTTCTTTGCGTTAAAGTCAACGTGATTCTTTGTGTTGTCTCTGTGTCTTTTAGGTTCATCATCATGAATGTTGATAACGATCCAGCTACGGAAGAAGAAGTCTTGAATGCTCTGGTCACAAGTGCCCTGAACGATCTTCGTACGTATTGAGCCGCTTTCTTAAAATAGCTTAACTACGACACGGCGTTCTGTTTTTTTCTATTTATTTAGAGCCTAGTAGGCGAACAATTCTGCACCGAGAATACAGAAGGAAAAAGCAGGTCCGTCAAGCGTTTGATACATTTCCTAGTTTCAATGACGACGAGACGAACACAAATGCTGTTTCGTGTGAAGAAGAAAGTAGTGGAGTAAGAGAACTGTGCTAAGATTCTGTCAGCTTCCTTTTCTTAGTTTCATGAGCTTCTTTCATTTAGAACGAAAGTGTAGATGGCAGTGGTATTGTTTTGGAAGAAGGAAATGAAATGTGGACCGATCTACAACAAGAACTGTTTGGTAGGGATAGAAACTCGCAAGCGCTTATTGCATGTTATCTTTGTAATGCTGCTCATTTTGCATTATGTTATAATTATTATTCTATTTTATTTATTTGGTAGCGTAGTACTTTATCGCAAGCAACGTCTGTCAGATAAGTTTTTTATTTTTTCATTTCACTAAAAATAAGATGCTTGTGACATCTCTTTTTTCTCGTTTAGGTGGAATTGAACCGAATGAAAACGACGAGGTTCCTCTCTATCCCGGATCCACCATTTCTGCTCGTCAGTATCACAAAAGCATCATCAACTTCTGCTCTGAATCACGATTAGACGAGAAGAATACCACAAAATTACTACGATTAATCGCAACAGCATTGCCCTTAGGTCACAATTTAGTTAAAACAACGGCTAAATTGTATAATACAATCGACAATCGACCGTCGTTCGTCGAAAAATTATTATGTTGTAAATGTATGTTTTCCATTGCTTCTCAAAATCGATGTAGTACGTCTTGTGAGCTCAATGGCAAACAACATCTAGTGAAGGATGTAATTGAATGGGTGAGAGCGACGGACTATCAGCTTGAAGAAGTTATTCGTCGTAATAAAAATCTGATAAAAACGTATCCTTCTTCGTCGACTCACTTCGTTCCTTGTGATATAATTGCACAAGAATTTTATCAAAGAAAATATTCAGATCTTCGTGACATTGACGACAATGTATATCCTGTCACGTTATCACTTCATCTGGACGGAGCCCCTATCGTGAAGTGGAGCAAAAAACAGACTTGGCTTTTTTCTGCATCTATTGTCGAAATTCCTCCACCTTTACGGGATTATACAACAAATTTAATTCTTCTTGGTTTTTGGTAAGATATTTCTTATTTGTTCATCTCCAAAATGGAGTTCTCTTCGAATGATCCAAACTTCTTCACTTTTACAAGTATTCTTTTTAAAAAGCGACTTGGGTAGCTCAACGGCAGAGTGCAGTTCGAAAGAACTGAGATGTTGGTCCAAATCCGGCCCCGAGATTTTTATAATTTAATTGCTTGTAATTGTGAAGATTTTCCGATAACACTCGATGCGAACTTTGTCTAATTTCGTTTTCTACCTCCCTCAGTCTTTTTGAGTGCAGTCACAAGTTTTTGGCGTAGTTTTGTATAGTAAAGTCCCTTTAAACATCTGTCCGTCTTTAGCACATTGATCACCGTCAACAACAATTGTTTTCTTTTGAATGTTTGTAGGAATGCAGCAACAAAACCAGATATTGATACTCTATTGATGGAAACGTGTAGCTCTTTAAAGAAAACAATTGTCGTTGATAGTGATCATTATGTTGTTGATGTTCAATTATTGAAGGCAGATAGTCCAGCTCGTGCTTATGCGTGTAAGCATATATTACATAATGGATACTGGTCGTGTTTAGATTGTGACCAAAAAGGTTTGCGAGATAATGCAGCAAATCTAATGCTTTATCCATTTGAACAAGCACCATCTAATTTACGCACTGATGATGCGTACAAAATCTGTGCTGCTTTAGTTAAACAACAGCAGAAACCGCTACTGGGAGTACAAGGAATTAGTCCACTGGCACAAGTTCTAAACTGTCCAACTCAAGTAACTCTTGACGCAATGCACTTGTGCTTTCTCGGTCACATGAAACAGCTTTTGTCTCATTGGCAAAAAGTTGTTTCAAATGTTCTGTGGCAAAAAGGAGACGATTTTTTGTCCAGTATTCGTTGGCCACATAATTTTGATGTTGAATTGAGTTCACTGACGAACAGATCGTATTGGAAAGCTCACGATTATAGAGCTTTTTTTTTGTACGCAAGTTTTCCTTTGTCGCTGTCCTTTCTTCCACCTCCTCTTTGTGAACATTTCACACTCTATTTTATTTTCCTAAAAACACTTTATTACTACCATGAATTTTCTGAGGTAGAAGAAGTCAGTTCATTGATTGAATTGTACTGTAAAGATGTGAAAAAATTGTATGGTTCTGAATTTGAACTTTTAACAGTACATTCGCACTTGCACTTACCGATGAAGACAAAAGATCATGGTGCATTATGTTTCCAAACATGTTTCGGAAACGAATCGTTTATACGATATTTAAAAAGCTTTCGTTCGGGAACACGGCAACTAGCCTTTCAAATTCGTCGTTCTATTGACAGATCCAGGCGAAGTGCCGAAAAGAAAAGTTTATCTCTTGAGGAGATTTTTACAGATCAGAAAATCTTGTTCGATAGCTTTTTAGATCAGACGATTATAGAAAGCTCTGAACAGGAATTCTATCCTATTGTAAATAATCTTCTAGGAGTTGATTTTGATACAGACATCCAGTTCTCCTCTCGTGCTGCTCGCGGGCTCTTGGAGTTTCATTCTCTGGCCTATACAAGGCGAGGAAAAACGCTTAGTTATATCGTTTCTTTTTCTAGTGCTACAAATCGTAGATCTTTCGGTGAGATTTTATTCTTTTTCAGTTTTAACGATGTTTTATACGCTTTTATAAATATGTTTGAATGTGTTGATCGTTTCTTTTCTACTAGCTCTTCTTTTAAATCCTTCTCTTCTTCTTCTGTTACTACTCATTTTCTTGATAAGTACTACACTAAGTGTAATCCTAATTCTAAAAAGCCAGCCTGTGTTCGATTTTCTGATGTTCATAATAAGTGTATTTTAATCTCACTTCCTGATTTTACGTTGCTAACCGAAGTTGTTTTTGATTTGGATGTTTTTTAGAGTTTTCTGTGTGGGAGTTTGCTGTTTAGTTCTATCGTTTTTTATTAAATCAACATTTTTCTTTTACTAACACTACTAACACTACTGCAGACGAGCGTTAAAGCAAAGTAATTGTCCGATGACTTGACAAATGACGATGAAACTCACAAATCTCTAAACGTTCAAGTTTCAAACATAGTATTTATTTAAAAGCCAGGAGAGTAGCTTAGCGGCTAGAGCGCGGTCTGTTTATTAGACCGAGACGTTGGTTCAAATCCGACCTCTCCTTTTTTATAAATGCCATGCTGGAGAATGAGAAATACGATGTTTAGTTTGAGAAGACAATTACTCAGGAAAACTGACTAACTTGTTCTCTTCTCTTTTTCTTTATTTCAGAGTTTTTCGTTTTTTTTATTATTGAAATATGTATTACGATCATCAATATTACACACAACCCGCCTACGATCCTTGTTATGATACAGGTTCTCAATTAACCTATACGAAATTGAATAATATTACATTATCGGATGCAAAAGGTAAGAGTGTAAACAAGAACAAAAACTACAGTCTTTCTATTAATCGTTATGTCTTTCTTTCTCTCTTTAGGAGCAGACGTCGATGATGACGATGAGTTTACTTTTCCACCATTAACCAGTAATAAACGTGTTGACTCTCTGCCAGTCGTACAGAATTTGTTGCAAGCAAAAGAAAATGTACAACATATGTAAACTTAGACTGCTTGCCTGCATTTCTGCTGCTATTCATCCATATGAGGTGAATTAGTACACAAAACGAAAGAGTGAAAAACATTATGGAATTCTATTCCGATAGCAGAAATGGCTGGCCGTGTCGATATGTCTATCATAAACCAAAGGATACAGGATTATATTTAAAAAGGACAAGTAATGAGTCACGTAATTACAAGGCTTTCTGACAGATGTTTGCAGCTAATGGGTGAGAGTACATCCAAGAAACATAATCAATAAAGTAATTATGAAGAATTATCAACGATATGAAAGAAACTTATTTTCAATTAATCTAATGGATCAACTCCATCAAACTATTGTTACAATCGAATCACTCATGTACTTAGTTACTAATGTGATTCATCAAACAAACAACATACACATGATAGACTCGCGCTCACTGATATGATGTAGTTTGTATATATGGAATGAGTTATGATGTATACAAAATACTTTTTTGTACAAAAATCCTTGCTCATGGGAAACAAGACTGTACTTTCTTCGTAACAAGATAGACTATAAAGAGAAATAATGAGTTACATGGCTTTTTTTTCATTTCGCTGACTCATCCTCATGTTTCAGCGAAGAAGAAAAATCCGTTTTCTTTTTTTCGTTCTATTTTTACTCTTTTACTGACTAGAATGAAAAACTTTTACTTTGCTTATTTTCTTGCGTTTTGTTCATACTCTTTTTGAGATATATCCTTTTGCTCCTTTCGCAGTTTGCGACCGATTATATTCTACCTATACAAAGACTATATTTTGTTCATCCGCAAGACTAATAACCGCGGAATGATACGTGGACTGCGACAAAAAAATATGTTTATTTCAAGCACTTTTTCGTTTTTTCTCGACTCAGATTCATTGGATGAAAATTCTGAGTTTGAACCAAAATAAGATCAGATTTCATCTCTTATTTTCAGTTTTTTCAATTCTGCTACATGTACGGAGATATTCACAACAACAGCGTCCTCTATAGCGTAGAACAGTGAATATCTCCGTACATGTAGTAGAGCCGAAAAAACTGAAAACAGATGAAATCTCATCTTATTTTGGTTCAAACTCAGAACTTTCATCCAATGAATCTGAGTCGAGAAAAAACGAAAAAGTGCACGAAATAAACATATTTTTTGTCGCATTCCACGTACCATAAGGACACATCTAGCTATTAGTTATGCACAAACAGTATGTTTCGTATGATCACAGACTCATTAGCACAGAATCGACTTTTTATACGGAGGACAGAATCGGTTCAAATTTTTTTTCTGAAGAGCTTATTATACGAATCGACGGTCAGCAAAGTATCTCTTGATTCAAATCACTTTTCGCATTTTGGCGCGAATAGTGGCGCCACTTAAAACGCGCTGCTGTTCGCGCCAAAATGCGAAAAGTGATTTGAATCAAGAGATACTTTGCTGACCGTCGATTCGTATAATAAGCTCTTCAGAAAAATAATTTGAACCGATTCTGTCCTTCGTATAAAAAGTAGATATTGCGCTAATGTATCATATGAAAAGTACGAACTTTTGCCAGACTCAGGGATACAGACTCATATACATATCAAAAATCTTAGAAGTAATTTTATATTAACTTAGCATAAAATTGGAAAGGGAAAATTCAGAAAAAAAAATTATTTTATTTCTGTTTTTAGGCGCCATTATTCTGGCGCTACTGCCAAAGTGTTTTCGCACCTAAAAATGGATATGGGATTTGTTGTTCGTTTTTCATTCGATCTGATTTATCTAACTTTAAAAGGAATAATTTGTAATGGCCAATTTACTATTTCAACACTAAAAAGTATCATACTAGTCCGTGGACAGCTGAAAAATTGCTGCTTAAAAAAGTGATTTTATTTTCAACTGCACTTTGTGACCAATGAAAAAGCGACTTTACGCAAAGATGAACGTAACGGGACACACATAGTATTTTCAGAATGAGAGATGGGTCTTCTATAAAAGTGTAAAATATCTTTCGGATTCTTCCACAAAAAAGAATTAGGTGTCGACACAGTGAAATGATAGAATAAGGGGATTGTCAAGGACACCAGCGTCTTTTTTTCAACCATTTTCGGATTCTATACCTCGATAGCGGTGTCTTCGATAGTTACAGAGAAAATGGAAAGGAATCTTCTCAATATTTTAACCCTAAAAGTTATTTATTATTTAATAATTTGCTCTGGTTGAATCTTCTCGTTTAATGCATCTTTGTAACTTTCAAAAAGCAGTGCATTCGCAGGTTATCCATGTTTTATTCTGGAAAATAAAAGAAGATCCATGGTTTCGAGTCCACGGACTATACGAACGGGATAGGCTTTAGCTGGTTCTGCGCGTTAACCAACAGAAATTCAAAATGGCTGCCATGCCTAAAATTAAGCAAAGAGCTGGTCCTTTTCTCAAAAATAATGCGAAAAAGTGAAGTTTCTTGCATGAGTCCTTCAGAAAAAGCTCTAATTAGAATTTTCCCGCCAGTTGCGAGAGAAGTAGACTCGAGCGCAAAAAAGAAACGTGAATTTGGCGCCAAATAGCTGTAATTAATTGTTTTCGTCCCGCCAGTTGTTTTGCTCCGAAATCTGATTAAACCATCAGGTTTCGTGAAGTAAAGGTATTGTCACAATTTTTTATTTCAGCATTCTTGCCAAAGCGCTGCTATTCTAAAGACACAGAGAGACAGTTTGAATGCCAACTGTCAACTACGCTGGTAGTCTCCAAAAATATTTAAAATCTTGAAAATCTATCATCGATATTCTCTTTTTGGTTGTCTCCTTTCTAAAAACATTATAAAAATTCTCAGACAAAAGGAAACTTTTTTCATGTGTAATATTTTTTTAAAATAAAGTAGCGCCTTATTGATGAAAAATGAAAATTTCAAGAGCAGGATGAGAGCTTCCTGCCTCAAGCTCTACTAAGATCAAATGTCCATACAGACAACTAAAATCAGTTCACAGCAAATTCTTTTTTGTCGTAAAAATCAAGTATGCACATGACGTCAAATAAGTCACGCTCATTTCTCAGATAATTGAAACGCTTATTATAAGTAGGGTTATGACTTTATGATTAGTGGGACCGTTCTTTTCTCAAAAGTGGTACAAAAGTCAAAGACACTCACTTTCTCAAGGTAACATGACAAGCCCGAAAAGACAGCGTACCTCGGGGTAATTCCGATCAATATCAAAAATCTTTTCAGTAATTTGCTCATAGGTAAGTCATTTTTAACCGGAGAAAAACGGTTTTGGTTCATAGAAATCGTCTGAAAAAGTTTTGCCTATGGAAACATGTCCCCAAGTCTCCTGTGACGAATGATGGAAATCAGAGCTCTCTAGCTGCTTTCTAGCAAAAGTTATTCAAAAAATGGCCGAGCCCATTCTTTTTTTAATCAACAATAATTATGTTTTAGCACCATAACATCCGGAAATCGCCGTCGCCGCGGATTCAGTGTTAAAGTGTTAACACTTTAGCGTCAACACTTTAACATATACGAACTCGCGGCGAGTGAGGGTGAGGGTGGAGAAGTGAGAGTGAAGTGGGTGAAGAAGTGCTCCACCCTCATAATCACTACTTCACCCTCAGTTATGCACGTTTATCCTTTTACACTTTAACACTTTAACATATAAGAATCCGCGGCGACGGCGATTTCCGGATGATGCCTTTAGCACTATTTCGCAAATAGTCGAAAGAAGAATTTTCGACAGCGCTTTATCGTAGAGAATTTTTTTGTTTTTGATTGAAAGAGCATATCCAGCTCTAAGGCGTGACAGAGCCTTTCTTTCCAAATTAGACTTTTTTTTAATAAAAAAGAATCTCTGGAAAACTGGTACCAGTTTTTGGGAGGTATTAAACTTCTAGGCCCTCTCCCCCCCCCCACCCCCGCAAGAAAAGCAAAAA